ACTGAAGGAGTGCTTCCTTAAGCTAAATATGCTACCTAGGAGCAGACAAAGGTACTTTGGGGTAATTGTGGCTTTTAGAGCATCAGAAGCAGCACATTAAATACAAAAGTGGAAATCACACCCACCCTACATTAAGTAGTGAAAGTTGAAGGTCTACTTGTAGTGTTTGCCATTCTAGGTCAGCATATGGAGTAAAGAAAATTGTATAGGGCAAGGAAATTAACTGCAAAAGGACATGATTTTAAAAGTGACATTTAGATGGTCTAAAAGCATTGGAGTGCCAGAAATCTATGGACATGTCTTTATAAATAAACATGGAAAGTCAGGTAAAAGGACAGGCCAAGCTGGGAATTTATAAAAAATGATTATTACAATCATCCTAGTCAATGTCTACAATGCAAAAGTCTCCAAAAAACTGGCTAGGTATGGAAAGCAGCCTCAGCCAAACTCCTTTATCTTCTGCCACTTTTGGTGGAAGTATTTTCTGGTTATACTAGTTGGAGTAATGGCCTCAATAAAATAAAATAAAAAAGAGGAAATGGCACCTAGGAAAAAAAAGGTTCTGATCACTGAACAAGTAGGTCATTGAACTCACACTGTGAATGTATGAGAGTCTGTGACAAAGATTTGTAAGATCTGGGTCAAACACAATAAGGAAGAGACTCTAGTGGGCAGACCTACTGAACCAAGAATGAGTTTGGGGCCATAGATTTCTAGACTCATGTGTGATTTAATTTCATGTTTTCTCCATTATTTAGAAAAGATTTTTCTTACACTGTTTTCCATGCTGCTTCTTTCCAGATTAGCTTTAAAAGATCCAAACCTGTCTAAGAAAGATAAAAATGATTCCATAGAAACTCTAAAAGATAGAGTAAGAAAATGAGGTCAGGGCACACAGTATGTTTCAGAAGACATTTTAGCACAAAGAATGGACTTGATATCCAGTAATCCTTGCTTCCCTTGCAATAGAGATCATTGACATCAAGGGCTCAAAAAGATTCATCTATTACTGAATTCTCATAATATCTACGTGCTCACTACAAGGGCAACGGTAGTATGACTCTCTGACAGGACTGTCACTTTGGATGTCTCAAGCGGCTACCTCACCTTATAATATTTTACACCGGTCTCTGAGTAATGGGGGAAGGATAATTGGAAACTGTCCTCCCAGCCACAGAGCACCCTGTCATCTGATTTTACATTTTGTGCCCTTTTCATAACAAAAGAGACCATTACCAAATCCCTCATGCTGCCCAGAGCATGTTTTAAATCTACTGGAAAACTTAACTAAATTATAGCTCTTACACTGATTTTTGTGCCCCATATAATCTAAGTCAACCCACGTTTCAGTTTTATTTTGGGATTTATACTCAACTCAGTGATTCTGTTTTATTTCATTCCATTTTCTAGATAAATTTCTTCCCCACAGCAATAAGGTTGCTGTTTTCAAATGATGATTAGAACATAAGAGGAAAATACTGAAGTGCATTGTTTCTCTAGATTAACTACACAGAATAGAGCTACTTTCTATTTTCATGTAATAGTTTATGAAGCAGAGGCATATAACATGTTCCATCAAATTCCATGGTATTCCCAGAAAAATTCTAGTTTCAATCTAGAGATGCAGTAACCTAGCAACTGTGCTCTGAAGACTCATTCATGGAACATGCTGTGGAAATGTTGCCACAAGACTTTGAACCTAAGTCATTGGCCATAAAGGAATGAAGCCCTTTGGTAATTTTATCCCCAAGGTGAGTGCATTTCACGATGAGGAAGCAGACAGTTGCCAAGCCATAGCTAGTGGTGGTCACTTTTATAAATGGGTCTGATGTTCATACTCTTTCTTAGTCATCTACATTGAATCTGTGCAAATTATTTGATCACTCTGCTACAGTAAAAGGGATATCACATGGATTCCACCTACTTTTTTCAGGAAACCTGATAGATTTAGCTTCATATAGATTAGACTTCATAGTTACCATTTTTAAAAAGTCCATTTAACCTAAAGAAAAGATTGAGACAATGTGTAGAAAGTGAGAGGAGAAGCCCTGAGGTTAGAGTGGGAGAAAGGGAGCTTTTCCATTCAGTGTTCTAACAGGATCCAGTGTCCATATCATTAACCAACCAAATTCATCCCTGGTAAGACAAGCCACCATCTCCAGGCCGGAAAAACAGGTTATTGATCAAATAATATGATTATTGTTCTAAGTCAATATATTTTGCAGCTTTCTGTAAGGCAGATAAATATCCTAGTATATAATGAATAATTGATATTTGTTTTCTGACAAAGTGGCATTGTGAAGTCAGTTAAACTCTATTGAGAGAGACTCACAATGAGCTGAACAGTGAACTGCAGTGAGCTGAGTTCCACAGTAGGTTGTTCACAGAACAAAATTAGAAAAAGAAGGGAAACCTTAGCCCAGGTTACTGAGGTCAGGAAGGCCTTTAGCATAGATGGGAACTGATTGAGAGGGGGCTTATCAAAAGAGATGAAATTTCTCAGTTTGAAAGTCATCATATAAGCATGGAATTTAAAGTGACTGACTATGAAAAGAAAAACAGGAAAGCAGCTGAGACTGCATCCTCTGCAACATGTTTGGCTCCAGATTTGAACTACATAAGACCTGCAGTCAAATTACAACTTAAACTTTCTTACACAGAGCACCCCCTCAGCTAAGAAAGTAAGTGTAATCAGAAGTAGATTATAATAGCCCACTACACATCACACCACTGAATATGGTTCTGTGCTAACTTGCAAGGTTGCTTCTTTCTTGAGAAGAAGCATGGAGACACTGCTGTTTCCCTTCTAGAAACTGGAATGTATGCAAAGACTATAAAACTCACTATCAAAATCATGACTTACAGTTAAACTATGAATTTCAATATGTCTTTATTGTTTATTACCAAACCATTAGATAAATATGACATATGATTTTATCTTATACAATAATTAAAGGTATTTCACTTTTATAACTTCACCACTCAACATCAATACACATACACACAGTAGAAACAAATGAATGGATCTCTAATTACTATACAAGTGTCTGATCCCTGGTATTATAACAGGCAAACATTATCTGCTCATTTTAAGTTGCATCATTTCTTCAATAGCTGAAAGTAGAGGATATTTTAAGAAGGATATAAACAAGTTTAAGACCTGGTAAATAAATCTATTATTCTCTAATAATGAATTCATTCATTTCTATGTACAGGTCACAATAAATAGCTCCTGTAATATACTATTAGAAGAGGGTATATTGAATGACCAACAAGAAGAAAAGCCTTTGCATGGGAAGACCACATATGAAAAAGTATCCCTTTAAAATGAGAATAAGAGGAGGTGAGACTAATATGCCAGCTATAATGAGGCCAGGATACTTTGTACAGACAAAGTAGACCACGACAACGTGAGCACTGGAATGAACAGTGACAGTGTTTGAGAAGATGAACAAAATCTTGCTAAGATTCCTTTTTAAAATATGCAGGTGACAGGATCTAAGAATATGTTATCCTTATACTCTTCCCAGGAAGAAAACAAATGGTAATCCCTAATATCACCTTGGAAAATGACTCCAGGGCTAAAGTTGTATCCTTCCTTGGAGACAACTGACTTTCAACTGTCATACAACCAAAATGGTTCTGTTAGAACTTTGATACTGGAAGAAAACTCCAGAAATTAAATAGGTTTCTTCCCCACTTGTATTCCCTAGCTTGCTTTTCTGCTGGTTTATTTGATTTGTCTTATTTTGGTATGTCATTGGGTCTTATATGAAGCAAAAAAAACAAAAAAAATAAAAGAGGCAACAACAGCAAAAAAGAGTTACATACCAGAAGAGCATCCTTTCCCTGATGTTGAGACAGCTTCCCAATAGCAGCAACTAGTCCTTAGAGGACTATTGTGAAACGGAAGGGAGAAAGCCCCAAGGCTCAAAACTGAGCCAGAACACATTGAGAATCAAATGTCAAGGGCATGATGTTCCTAAGGCTGCAAAATGACTCTCAGTTGTAATTACCTTCTGTACAAGGCTGAGTCCTCCCATAGCCATGGTTAAATTAAGGGCTCTGATAGGAAGGTATTGCTAAAAAATAATGAAACAAGGGCAAGAATGAAAAGAGGGAACATATCAAAAGGGGGAGCATGCCAACCCAGGGTTCTGGGGTGGCATTCAGATGAAAGCCAGGGCTCAACCTGTTCCCAAGGAATCACTTAGGAATTCTCAGTTTTGAATATGACAATACATGTAAAATTCAATAGCCCCAGAAAAACTTGGTGGCTTGACAGCATTTTTAAAAGGCTGTCTATAAATTATGTATGTGCTCCTGTTAGTCCCAATGCATTTCTGCTTCATGGACTTCTTAATTAAGCCCAACACTGTTTGGATAATGATATTGTACCACACAGATATGTGTTTATGTTACTATATTAGAAACAAATAACTTTAATACTTTTTAAACAATGTCATACTTACAGACAACTGTATATTGAAAATAGAGTAAAATGTTTACTGAATTATTGGAGATTAATTTATTTTTGTGATGTCCCAATGATGCCCAATATTTGACAATGTACTTCTTCAGAAGGAATGTTCTTTAGCCAGATTATAGTCCTCCAAATCACGTGTTTGGCACAGGTCTTACAGTCAACCTCAGGATCTTTCAAGCTCCATCAGTAACCTTGGTAGGAATGGCCCAAGAAAAGCAAAAAAACAAAAACAAAAACAAAAACAAAAAACCCCACAAAACTCATTCAGGATCATGCCCACATGCAATTTGCCACATCTCTTTAGTCTCCTTGCATCTGTGTCTGGCCTCAGCTTTTCCATGATTGTAGTGATCTTGACATTTTTGAGAACAAGGCAGTTGTTCACAGGATGTCACAACTTAGTGTTTCTACCTTCACTTTTTTCTTCAAATCCATGGTCAAGTCTGACTTTCCCCTGCTAAAAATTGAAATCCTGTTTGACAAGAAAGGTATTCCATTATCTACTGCCACTCACCTTATCCTGCCTCCCTTCTTTTGCTGCCTCTCTGGGTCTGATTTCCATCCCTGCAAACTACATGCAGCATGACCCTTCGGTGAGCTCCTGCTTTACGAGACTTCACTTTTCCAACCATATGGAAACCTGCCAGTGGGAGGTAGATGTGATTAGAGTGAGAAGTGTTAGCTCTGTGGAGTTTTCACTTCTTGTAACTTCTCTGCAGAGTCCTGGGCTCTCTATATTCATCTGTATCTGCTTGTTGATTTGGGGGATGACTTGTTATAGGCCAGACCATTCTCTTCCTAAGAAATGAAAAAATGTTCCACACACTTATGTGTTTGAGAGTTAGAAACATAGCTGCTGTCATTTAGGTCACAAAACTTTCTAATGTGTGCCCTTAAACACTTATAGAAGTGTGACTATAGGAGGAAAATCTCTTCCCAGACATTCTTAATTTCAGTGATGACCGTATACTGTTCGGATATTATCTGCCCCATCATCTCACATACGAGCCAGCAGTTCTGCTAAATTACACCTATTTGTCACATGCCACTGTGACTTTACTCTGTTATCTCACCTCAATTTCCGTCTTCTGTTTCAAATTAAAACAGTTTCCTTGAATTCTTCCTTAAGACATTTTAACCTTCAGTTATCTATGTATCCACCACAGATGCTTACTGCATTGTGTATTTTGTTAGCATAGAAGTCATGCTTAATTTTTTGTGTATCTTCAGTACTTCATACCAGCAGGCAAGCAATACATCTTTTTCCACATAAATAAATTGATGCCTAATGCAGTAAAAGAGCAAGTGTGGATTTTGGGGGACAGGGGATTAGACTAAAAAATGTTTCCCAGGCAACGGTGCAAAGAGTTATAGAAATGTACAGATAGGAAATAAGGTATTACAGAGAGAAAAAAGGAATGACAAGCACACTACAGTAATCAAGTCTTCCTAGTGCTTAGTAAAGAGCCAGGCATGAACTGACTATCCTCTAATAATAGACCTGGCAAGTATAAGCAAACACATGGAAAGTCCCAGGAAGCACCTCTCAGAGCCTGATACCAGTAATTCTTTTTTTTTAATTTACTTATCTTTATTTTATGTGCATTGGTGTTTTGCCATGGGTGCCAGGTTCCCTGGAATTGGAATTACAGGCAGCTGTGGGAGATACCACAGGTTCTTTGGGAGAGCAGTCAGTGCTCTTAACCACTTAGCCATCTCTCCAGCCTTGTACCTGTAATTCTAACAGACCAAACCCAATTGAACCTCAAGTGTGATGCAACACAAACGCAAGTCAAGAGTCACCCATAGGTCTGAAGCTGGCATCCCTGTTGGGAAATACTTCCCACAGAATTGTGGGAACTTGAACATTATAAGGTAATAAATCTTACAAAAATGTGTAGAAATGGGAATGATACATGTCCTTTTATACAAGAGTGGTTTACTACTGTAGGGGAACATCTCTTAAACCTCAACAATCACAGCCAACTATTTATATTTTCACAAGTAGCACCATTTTAGAATGAAGTATCTAGGACTGATTACAATGTAATATGCAGTGGTACAATATTAATCACATTTATTACATAATTTCTACTTCAAATGCTGGGTGATCCTGATAAAACACCAAAGTAAATCATAATGGCAGCAATATTTTCACAACTTACTGTCACATATTGATGTCCCAAAGGCAGTGAATCAGTGCACCACCCATAAGCTTGTGATTGACAAGTATCAATGACAAGAAGTGTTGCTAACATGGGCTCCCAAAGTTCATTCATATACTAGGGATACATCTTGGTTCCACTGCAAGAGGTCCCATAGATTTCTCAGGTCTCCTAACTGTCACCCGCATTTAGAGGACCTGGTTTGGTCCTATGCTGGTTCCCCAGCTGTCTGGCTGGGGTCCATGAGCTCCTACTTGCTCAGGTCAGATATTTCTGTGGGGTTTTCCCCAGCATAATCTTGAGCCCTTTTCTCATCACTCCTCCCTCTTTACAACTGGATTCCAGTAGTTCAGCTCAGTGCTTAACTATGGATCTCTTCTTCGGCTTCTGTCTTTGAACCAAAAATAATGGTTAAATATCCATTCCCTTTCCATTATAAACTTTCCATTCTGTCAAAGAGCCACAGAATGGAAATTTTTAAGTACTGTATTACTATAATCTCTAAAAATACATTTATATATTATCTTTATAGAATCACCACTGCAATTTGTTTTGTCAAATTATTCTAGCAAATACCATTTTCAAGAGAATTGCAGAAACATACAGGGTTATATTTCAGGTGTATTTTGAAGTTCACATATTAAATAGAAACAAAAGTCTTAATATTACCTTATGATAATTTTTCTATGAACCATTTGTAGACCAAGGATATATGAGTGCCAATAAAAAAAAGATTGTGAGTTTTAAACCAACAATGAGACCAGCTACAAAACCTTTAACAAATACAATGACTTCTCTGATATAAAATTCAGGGGCAATTTCTACAACACTTCATTTATCAGTTTAAAAAAATAATGAATAGCTGTGAGTGCAAATAGTTCACTTATTTGTTCCTTCAAATATTTGTTAATGGATTTCTGTATGATCCATTATGTATCCAATATATAACCCTTACATTTGTGTTTGCAGAGGTAAAAAGGAAATTAAAATCTCTATCTGGAAGTAAGAGAACTGAAATGATAATAAAAGATAAATCTTAAAATGAATAAATTAGGATTCAATTATTTCCATAGAGCAGAAAAACTGATTAACGCTAGTCAATAACTAATCTGTGAATTTACTCTAAATTTCATTTAAGACTGACTACAAATCACCTGCCCAGCACAGGGAAAAACTGATCAGTGTTACTGTCAGTGCCCAACTGGAATGAATGAAGTCAGAAAACATCCTCCAATGCACTGTACTTTTGGTGTGTCCATCATTTGAAGACCTCTCAAATCATAACCTAGCAGAGCAGCCAGTTTCTATCAAATTTACAAAAGAGGGAGAAAGTTTGACCCCCAGTTTTGTGATCATTATAAAATGCTTCAAGATGTGTCTAAATCTTCAGTGAGCAAAGCTTCAGTTTGATCATAGATCACAATCTTAGAAGGAGCCCCAACATTTCAGTTCCTCAACTCTTTGTACTAACCCTTCCAAAATGTCAAGTTGAACCAAGAGCATAACAAACAAAACAATGATTCTCCCAGACCCATTGTGTATCTTAAAAATGACTTCCCCTCAGGAAGGACTCATCCACCCTAGCTTCAGGTCTTCCTGCTTCTTAAAGCCACTTAGTGAGGTACAGCTAAATGAATAGTGGACAGGAATTCGATATTTAAAAATGTGCAAGTAATAATGAATCCTGAAATAATGTTTGAGTAAAAACAAAATATCATGCTATATAAGGTGCTTTTCCTCCTCAGCTGATCCTTATTCTAGCTCAGTGACTGCAAGAGAGAAGCTTCTGGATACTGTGGCTAGTATTTTTTTAGTTTATTACATTATTCAAATAAAACATATCTACTGTAAGTGTACAGAAAAGAAGCCTTGAAATTATATTTTTCAGTTCATCACTTTCCAAACTATTAAGCTGGAGAGAGAGAGAGAGAGAGAGAGAGAGAGAGAGAGAGAGAGAGAGAGAGTATTTTCCTATCACTACCATCATGACCATGATAAAGATTATTTCCACTATTCTCCCAAAACTTCAGAACTACAATATTAAAATTTCAGTCCCTTGGTGAAAACACCCACATTTCAAAATTCCATGGCCCTATTGTATCATAACACTGTTGTGAATATGCTTTATCCAGAAAACTTTGCCAAGCAGCACTGCTAAAAATCTCCTTTTCTCAAGGGTTACATTTCAAATTCCAATTTGAACACACAGATCAAGACAAAACAAGTCAAACTGCACTGTGGTTTCTCCCTTTTTGCTCTGGTTGATGCTGCCTTCATCTCCAGGGCACCAGTGCTTTCTGCCCCGTATAACACCAGCCTGCGCTTACAGACAGCTGGTGTTACTCCTGACAATTTCTTCATCTTTAGTATTATGCTTTATTCTGCAACCCTCTCTAGGCTTTCTGAAGGTTCATCGCCTGTGATTCTTCTGTCTCCCCATTTCAGGAATCTCCTCTACCCTAAATCTCATCATATAAGCCATCAGTGGAGGCACAGCTCACCCTCCTTCTCTCTGGGCTCCTCCTTCTTGGGAACTGGAAGTCTCAATTGACACCATGTTCACTCTTACAACCCACACAAACTTTTAAATGTAATATTGACTGAATTTTCATCTGTTTCCTACTGTGATTTATCTCACTGTATTTATATTATTGAATATGTCACTAGTCATTCATGAAAAAATAAAATTCCACATTCTTGCTGCTCCAGAAACTGGACAGCCATATGACATTACACAGTATTAAGGGACTCACAGAAAGGCTAAAGGGATTTTGGGGCAAGGGAAGTGAATACCATTAAAACTCACAAGCATCCTTCTGGTGCTGGGTGCCTCTGTGAATTTCTACTTTCCTCATGATGTTTGTTGTTTTATCTATAGCAATAGTGACTGAAACAAATGTATGCATCATAACATACAGGAATACTTATGGCAGTACTCTTCGCCTTATTAGCTCACTGTCTTCTCTAATTTTATCCATTCTATATTAGGTTTTCTCTTTATTACTATGATACTATAAAACAAGATCAAAAATCTTGCCATTCATCCACCTATGGGCCATAGTAGAGAATCATCCCTCAATCTAACAACTCATTGTTACTATTCAGGTTGGAGAGTGAAAGGTTATTATGCAGGTTTAGAAACTAGCAAGCAGGATTTTTCAGGCTCCCGTTCAGCGACCCTGCTTGGAGGCATCTGAAGCCAAGGGTTTGTTTGTGGGATCTGAGATCGGAAGCAGGTCTTGACACACCCGGACACTGCCGAGGCCCTGGTGGCAGTTCCACCTCCATCCACCAGCCCAGGTGGGCCAGGGGCTGTTTCCCATTCCGGGTAAGTGGCTCTGCTCAGAGGTATCTGAGACCAAGGGTTTGCTCACCAGATCTGAGATCCGCAGTGGAATCAGACACACCCAGACACGGCTTAGGCCACCATGGTAGTTCTGCCTCCATTCACGGCTAGAGGACAGACATCAGAGTA